AAGGTAAGAGGAGAGCGGGGCAGTCACACACAAGATACTACCTAGTGGAGAAAATCCGCGCTGGGGTAAAGCATCTGGGAAGCCAGACGCGCTCTCCCTGGGTTAAATCTCATTTCTGCCCATTCCTCTCCCCAATGACGTGAAGCTAAACCCGTTAAAATAAATCTACACGAGGGATTCGCGGCAGCACAACGAGACAAAACTCCAAAGCGGTATTTAGGGCTCAAGTTTCCATCTAGAAGAGGCTGCAGAAGGAAGAAACAAGTTCATGTGTGGGCAGAAAGCTGACGTTCCGAAGCTGAGCTAGCTACTCGGGTGAAATATATCGTCAAGACTCGGCTGGAGCAAAGCAGTTTAGATTTCGTATAAACACAGCCAAGGCGGCTACACGATGTTCCTCCCCGTGTGGCAGCGCTGCGAAGCCTGCGGACACCGTACCTTCCACGATATCCCGCTTGTAGTCGCTGTCGTTGTCGCTGTCCGTGGGCCGGTAATAGATATAAAATCCTTGGATGGGCGTGTTGTTGTTGCTCGACGTGATATACTGAAAGAGAATTTGAAGAGACACATTTTAAGCGAGTCCTGCTGAGCCGTCACTGGATATCTTATCACCTTGATTTATTTTTTTTTAATCAGTCACCCATTTTTTTTACAAGCTGTCCATTTTTTTAACAAGTCGCCCATTTTTTTAATAACTTGTCCATTTTTTTTAATAAGGATCTGCAAGCGAGGTGCAGGGAGAGGTTGGTGCAAAAGCTACAACATGAAAGAGGATCCTTGACAGCGGTCGAGGCAGCTAAGGTGAGCACAGCGCCAGGGGCTCTGCAGCAAAGCGCTCTGCCACTGAACTCCTCGGATCAGCTAAAAAAAAAAAAAAAAAAAAAAGGGAGACAGAGCTGGGGATGCCACTTTCCTCCCACATCGTTTTCCAAGCCATCAATTAGGGTTTGACCACGAACGCCCTGAAAATTGGTGTGATTAATGGTGAAAGGTCAGAACGTTTTCACTTTAGAGAGTTCAGGTCATGAAAATTCAGCTCGGGAACATTTTGCTGGAAGTTCTGCAGGGTCCCGAGGAAGAAGGAGGTTACGTGAAGTTTATTATCCTTACCATCTCTTCAGGCTGAGCGAGCAGAGCAAACTAACGCTGGGGGAACTCTACACGGTTAAATCCTCCAGAGTACACCAGGGGGTTAGATTTCAAAACAAGAGCGAAGAATTTCTGCGGGTTTCAAGAAGGACTTTCAAGTACTTGTTTACAAAAAAGATGAGGGAACCGGAGTGGGGTGGAAGGAAAAAACGTTTCTCCAATGTGAAACCCTCTCCTGGCTGCCAGGGACGGCGGCGGGTTTGAAACCCGATTGACAAGAGCAGCAGGAAAAAAAGCCAAAGAGCGGCTCCGGTCAGAGGGGTTGGGATGGAGCTCAGCCCGGCCGGTGCCTCTGGCTGGGTCTGCGCCAAAGCAGGTGGAGGACAGCGGCTGGGGCGCTTTGCCCCGGGCAAGCTGCCAGTCGGGCTCACAGCTGGCGTAACTCGAGGAGGCGGCACGGGGCATCCCCGGGGAGCGGGAGGCTGGGAGATGGCGCGAAAGGGGGCGAACAACCCACGGGGGTGTCACAGAGGAGGAAAAAGCGTTTGGGAATGGGGGTTAAAGGGCTTGAGAGGCATACGGGCCGTTAAATGAGCCAATTCTACCATGGAAACATGAATTATCTCAGCCCTCTGGCAAAAAATCATCTCTGAGCCTCAGCGGGGGGAAACCAGCACCCAATCAGCTCTTAATTATTGACTTTGAAGATGCAAAGTGGTACAAATTCGCCTGCAACTGTGCAAAGAACAGGAGAGGATGATACCCACCGTCCATTTTAACATGATCTGAGTGTCACTGACGGCTTCGGTGTAAGCGATGTGAGGTCCCGCAATGGGGCGGTTGGAAAAGCGGCCGGTGAACCCGGCGACTTGGTACGGGCGAGACGCTGCGCTGCGCGGGCTCTCCCCATAAGTGTTCACGGCAATCACACGGAAACGATACATTTCTCCTTTTAAAGGGAAAAAATAAAAGCGGTTGTAGCAAAACAAGGATTCAAGGAGAGACCCAACGGATGAGGAAGGTTTTTTTTTGCACAAGCCATTAGAAAAACCAGAGGAGTTGATGCCGCGGGCTAATGCGGACAGCAGAAATAGAAACGGCTTCTAAAAGCCATGAGGGAGATTCACTTCAGAAAAATCTGAAGTTGCATTAAGAGACGGAGATGCCTCCAGCAGCTCAACAAGTCCCAAAACTGGAAGCCGGTGGGTACCAAGAGATGTTTCAAAGGATTTCTCATCCTCATCTCTTCCCTCTACTCTTGCACCATTTCCCTGGACAGTGGGAGAACCCAGAAATCAGGAAAGATGTTCTTCCATCAAAGCTTTTTTCTCTTCTTGTGTTCCGAGTGCTTACTAGAAGGACAATTAAGCTAAAAAATCACAATTTATAATACGCAACCCTCCTCTCCATGCAAACAAAGGATTAGATTATGATGGTTTAGTGTTGATTTTCCACTTGGAAAGGCAGAAATCAACTTGAATTCATGTAATGAGCTCCATAAAATGAAAAAAAAAACCAAACCAAACCAAAACAAAAAACCAGGAGCAGGATAATCCAAGCAGAAGTTAGACTGAAACAACCAAAGGGTTGCCGTATTCTCTCTGCAGGCGAAGGAAAGAGAGTTTTTAATACCTGGCTCCAAGTTCCGAACTTCCACGGAGAGTTTGGAAGGAGAAATGTTGTCCGCTGCCACGAGCCAGTCGCTGTTCCGCCCCAGGCGCTTGTACTCCACTTTGAAGGCGGTGATGGGGGAGCCGCCGTTTGCCCGCGGGATCCACGTGACGTAGACGGAGGATTCCGACGCCGTGGAGATTGTGGGTCGGTCGGGAGCTTCTGGGACTGGAAAGAGAAATTCAGGAGGATTAGAAACGTCGGCTTCTGTGGTTTTCTAGATTAAACTAGTTGCTGATGATTAAATTAAACTTTGTGTATGAACAAGGAGAATCTTAAATCCTCCTGTAATAATTACTCCTCTTACTCTTCCGGAAAAGATGCTCAAAAACAGAGGAATAAATTATTTTATCAATAAACTAATCAAAAAAGGACATTGTTGCACCACCCCAGCTCTACAAGGAGACACAAACACGCACTAAGTGAACAGGAAAAATTCCGTTGTTTTTTTCCGAGCCCCAAAATTCCCCCAGACCCAACGAGACTCCAACCCATCCCCGCTAAAGAGCCAGAGAAACGAGAAGGAAGAGCACACAAAGCATGCGACGAACAATATACTTACTGAACTCGCTTGACGGTACAGAGAGCAGCGGGACAGAGAAGGTAAAGAGGTGTGTTAGTAAATCCCCGATAATCGCGCTGATGAGAGCCCCTGAACCAGACCAAGGGGTGGGGTGGTGAGATACAGGACTATAAACACGCTGTTTTCACTGGAAATCGGGCTGAAAATCACAGCGGTTGGGAAGTGGCTGGAGCTTCTTGCCAGCGGAAATAAGTCTATCCCTGGGAAGCCACGGGAAGACTTTCAGGATGGATAGAATCCGCTCTGAGATGTTAAAACCAACGTGGGCATTGCCCATTTCTTCCCTTCCTCTGGATTTTTCACAGCGGAGGAGAAAACCAGAGTATTTAGCACAAAGCAACGCTAGGTTTGAACATGAGCAGCAAGAACTGGGTTATACGTGAAAATCTGATCTTATTTTCGGAGATCTACATGTGTGGGTAAGAGCATCCTTGGAAATATTAAAAGTTCACGAGATTAGAGCACGGATTTGTGAAATTTATAGCTTCTAATACCCCACCAGAGATGCTAAAGCCTGTAAGAAATGCACTACTACGTGATAATTGAACGCTGCGGTGGAAACCTGGAGTATTGAGGCAGATCCTCCAAATGCTAGCTCACCACCTGGAATAAGGGAACCTTCCAGTTGGTCCCCAAATTATGAGCTCTGATCTTTTACTCTGGAAACAGAACAACAGAAAATCTGGGAGATACCCAACCTCACCCACAGAAGTCCCTCAAGAGAGGAAAAATACCTGTCTTGGAGAAGCCAGGGGAATAAATAGGAAATAAAAGAGGTAAACCAAGCACCTAGAGCAGCAATAATCACAAATTAACTCGGGTTCATCTGTTGGCAACACAATTTTAGCACACGGATGACAAACTTACCTCCGCTGTGTCGAGATAGGTCCGGAAGGATGACACCGAAATTATTTGTCCCTTCGTGAACGACAGGATGTTTGGGAGCGCCGACGGGCGGAGACGGAGCCTGGGTGTTTTTTGAGGATGATGTTCTTTCTAAAAAACAATTGGATAGACAATACATCAGGGATTGGGCAAGAAAATGCTGTTTAACGCCTCTCACAATACGCTTGCTCTGCAAAATCACTCGCTGAGGCCCAGGGGACTAAATCCTGGCTCCAAATCACGAGGTGAACAGTCAGGAAAGCGATGAGAGAGTTTCTTCAGGGGACCAAGAAGGGAGATCTCCCCCTTCTGCGGTACTAACGGCCACAGTGCTGCACTTTGCGGTGATGCTGCCGGCTCCCGACAGGGTTTCCAAGCCCCCTCTCATCATAAAATCACCACAGGGGGTGAAAATCACGCACCGAAATCCATGTTGGGAGGAAAAGGTTCAATAAAAAGGCTCCGGAAGCTGGGTTTGGCCACAGCTGGCCAGCGGGCTGAGCGGACGTTTGGCCGGTTACATTCTTAATGCCATTTTAAGCCGGCTGGTTCCTGTACGCCAGCATGAAAAATATCTGATTGTTTGTACGCTGAAGAGCACAGCCACCAGCGTCCAAGCTTGAAAACCAAAAAATTGCGTTGATTAGAAATGCTCTTTCACTTGTCGCTGCCTCCAACCAGCTACTGAAACAGCTGGCTTTGCATCAGCCCAGAGATTTTTTTTTTTTTTTTTTTGCTTCTCCAAAGCAAACCAGGAGGAGTTTTGCTCCTAAATTAAAATTTGACGGTGTGGAGAGTTTCTTTTGCGATATTCTGAAAAACCTGCACAAGGCCAGGCTGCTCCAACTCTGCTCCTTCAACCAAGAGGAACCTTAGAGTATAAATCTCAATAACCACCCCAAAAATAATATTATCCAGCTTTTATGAGTTTCTACTTACCAACAGCCCTGCTAACGCTTAGGAAAGTTTGCCCCGCAGCTCTTTTAATTATTTTTTTTTTTTTGCAGAATATTTTATATACGGCTTAGCAGGCGACATACAGCTGATGGAATGGAACCAATGTCCCCTCGCAAGCGCGGGACAGCAGGGACATTGTCCTGCACCCACCTTTGCTGGTGCGGAACGTCAGCATGGCGGGCTGGCCCTCGCCGGCGGCGTTTCTTGCCACCATTAAAACTTCATAGAGGCTGGAGGGCTCCAGCTCGGTGAGCCGCAGCTCGTTCTCGCTGCCGGGGACGCGCACCGTGTGCCAGCTCCCCGTCGCGCTGACGCCGTCGTCCAGCTGCGAGGGACAGGGAGAGAAAGCTCAGTGTCAGTGGTGGAGCGAACAGAACCCGACGTAATGCTCGAATCGCAGCTCGAAATACCCGAAAAGCAGCCAAAGGACCTCTCCCACTTGCCAAAAAACCCGATTTTTTTTCCTAAATCTACCTACAGTTTGTCTCCAAGCGCTTCTGCCACAAATCCAACCACCTTCGTGAGGCTCCTAAGAAAAATTCAGCTTATTTTCCCTCTCTATAAACATAAATAAACTTGTTTTTGGGGAAAAAAAAAGTGATTTTCACTTAGCAAGAGCCCAAATGATTTTTAAAGGCTTCAACGAGGCTTCAGCTGGCAGCGTGTGCAATATTCAAGGGCTGGACCCAAGCCCCTAATGAGAAAGATCTGTTTCCCTGAACTATCCCAGTTTTTTTCTGGACTTTGGGATTTGAAAAATATTTATTGGCTGAAACAGGCAACAAAAAGTTATGCCTGAGTTACTTCTCCAGGGTGGGGGGAAAAAAAAAAAAAATCATCAAATCAGCAAGAAGACCAAAGGTTTGGTTTTTATTAATGCATAGATCTTTTTTAAAAAAAAAAAAAAAAAAAAGAAAAAACTTTTTTAATTTAACAGTGAAATCACCAGCTCCGTTTAAGAAAGGAAAAGAGATTCAGCGCAGTCTCTTGACGCTTGACCTTTGGAGGGAAACATTTCCCCCAAATCCCAAAGGAAAAGACACAAGATTCCACCAAAAATAAACTCCTAAACAACGTAAGACTTTAATAAAACAGAGAAGACAGATCTAAACACTGCGGATTAGCAAAGGTTACGCCAGACGTCCTTGCTCAAGTATTTTTCTTCCCAAGTGACCACTCCAAGGCTTTCATTCCCCCAAATTTTTTCTTTTTTTTTTTTCCCCCCTCTTTAAGAGGGAAATCAATAAAATAATGTAATGACACAGAAAGAACACCACCCTAAAAAAAATACGGTGAACTCCTCGCCGAGAAACGCCCGAGCGAGCAGAGTTCATGCAGGAAGGATTGTCATGAGTGAAGGGTAAGCACCAAAAAGGTCAAAGAAATATTCAAAGCTTCCAGCACTGATGTGAACCAACGGCCGTCGGATGAGAAATCCCATCGACAGACTTTGTTGGCACACAGTTTTTAAGGACACGATGGGGATCTGCTTGGGAAATTTGAGTTCAACTTTCATAAACTCAGCTTAATAGTGTCCCTTTGGGATGTGGAATCGAAAATTCTTGGAGATATTCGGCTCAGCTTTCCTTCTGATCTCAAGCTTACCCACCAGACTCAACCTTGCTCACAAAAAAATATTTTCGGCAACGCCGAAAATGTCTAAAATACACCCCAGAGTCCCATTCCCCATGGACCAGGATACTCTGAAGGAAATAAAACCCCAGGTTTTGCTCAAGCCTGACTTAAAACTAGACAGAACAGCGCGCTTGCGACCAACTTCAGCCATCCCTAATATTTTAGGCCAAAGGAATGTCGTGGTTCGCTATATTTTGTATTTTTTCTTTCCTGACGCCACGTTCTGGTTAACGCCAGCCCTGCAAAAATTCTTGGTTTTTTTTGTAAAACCTAAAAACAATTAATCCACGGCGCACAGCTCCGGAGAAACGTTACCTTGCGATATTTGACAAAATAAGCGTTGATGGGCAAGCCGCCGTCCCTCCCCGGCCGCCACACCAGGTTGTACACGTCCGGCTTCGGTGTCTGCGGGGGGCTGAGGATGATGGGGGCTTCGGGCGGAGCAGCGGCTGCGTTCGGGGTTTTTTCTGTCGCGGTCAACCGTGATTTTGTGGGAGGTGAGCTTGGAAACGCCGTTTCTGCCCCCAAATCGCCATGGCTTTCATCGCTCTGGGCAAGCTCCAGGGGAGGCATTTCTGCTGCTTTCGTGCCAGGTTGGAAAGGAACTGGAAAAAAAGGAGGAGTCTGGTTACATCTTCGAGATGACGTATGCCCACCCCGCGCGGAGGGGACACTAAATCATCTCTAAAGCATCATTTCCAAACAAGCCTCGCCGCAAAAACGCCAGCTCAAGAGACGCCCGCGCAGACCTGAGCCCGCTGCCAAGCTGCACCCTTGCACGCCGGCTACTTTTTTTTTTTTTTTTTTTCCTAAGGCATTACAGCATTTTTTGGGGTTGTGTTTTTTTTTTTTTTCACAAAGAGAGAAAACCTGAAACGCAATGTCTGCAGGCACGGTTTGACTCGTATCTCCGATAAATTAATGCATGTTAAAAGAAAAAAAAAAAATATATAGCTACTCTTGTGACACAAACGGACCGATTTTAAATGAAGCGTGGTTGTACAAGGAACTTTTCATGGCCTGAACTGGCGTGCACACAAGAGGACATTCTCCCAGCCCCGCTTCTGAGGTTTGGAGCCGTCGTTTCGATCCGCTTTGAAAGCTGCACAGCTCAACTGCTTCATTTGAAGATTGATGCAGGGAATAAATTCAGTTTACGGGCAGGTCTAACATGCAATTTAATACCAATGCGGCTCTAGAAATCCTGCTCCAGCCTCCTCCAGCCTATTTACCTTGCCTGGTATGAAAAAAAAAATAAATTATATATATAATATCAGTTGTTTGAGCATGGGAGAAAAAAAAAAAACAAAACGTGTTCAGGTTCCTGGCAGGAACGGGGCGGCAGGTTGGACATCTGAGATTATCCAGGACAAGTTAAAGCCGGCGTTTAAACCCAGCATGTTTGGGAAGGGGCGCAGCTCCTCCGGGTTGCAGGCTGCAGCGGCGGGAAAAAAATGTTCCGAGCCCCGCGCGTCCTTTTTTTACGTTTGCGTAGGTTTCTGTTACACGCCGGGGTCTGGAAAAAGGGGAAGGGAACGAAGGGAACTTGGTTTACAAACCAAACAAATTCCTTGGGTAATGTCAAGCCAGCGTTAAGCCTGGCTGACTCGGATTCCTCCAAACCTCCATTAAAATACCAGCAGCAAGTGTGGCTGCTATTTTTTGCCACTTTTTGGGGAGGAAAAAAAAAAAAAAAAGTTGGTAAAAAGGAGGGGAGGAAAAGTTCTCTTTTTTTTTTTCCCCCAAATTGAAGACACGCTCTCAGCAAGTATTCCCTTGTTTTGTTTCTTCCTATTTGTTAAGCCACAAAATTCCGAGATGGGAAGAAGGGGAAACAAAGGCAGATGGGGGGGAGGATGTCCCTAAATCCAGCTGGAGTTCTCTGAAAACGTCAAAACGTCCCCAAAAAAATCTCGAAGCAGCAGGAAAGGGACCGCACCGAGGACTGGAAACAAACGCCGGATGCACCCGGGAAGGGAGAAGCGCTGGACCCGGAGGGTTTGTGGGTGGGCAGAGGAGGGTGTGACGCCTGCTGGCATGGGGGAACCGGACTCTTGCGCAGAGGATGAGCTGCGGTTGAGGCTGGTGACAGGAGACCCGCAGTTGTCGCCGTGTTTATTGCTGCGAGAGGGGAGTCGTCAACAACTGGAGAGTCAGTTGTGTTTTTTTGTGCTGTGGAAAACAACCCCTGGGTAACAAATTCCATTAAACAATTCGGCTCTAAGGTTTTTTTTCTGGATTTCTGGCATAATTGCTACCCATCCAAACCAGCACAGCAGGCTGGTCTGCGCTGCTGTGTCATTACGAGACTTTTTTCAGCGTGCCACCCCTTTCCCCTCAGCCACCCAGAGTTCTTTTTCTGCCTCGCTTTCCCAGCTCTGCTGCAAAACACGAGTCGGGTCACACCAAAGGCTGCATGTGCCCAAAATTCTGCCTCCGAGAGCCGCCAGAAAAGGGCCAAGTATCCCAAATTTGGACATTAAAATCATGCATTCGCAGAGCTTTTGCATTCTCCGACAGCATTTCACAGCTTGTCGTCACGTCTCCCCTTCGAAGCCCTCACCTTCCCAGCCTCTCCTCCTGCAGAAACTCGTCGAGTTTCTTTTCTAGAACTTTTCCAGCTCTTCTACACCCTCCTTCAACCAGGGGTGCAAGCACACGAGCAGATTTCAAACCCGCCGGCGTGTCCCGTGTTTGCACGGCGGCAGAGCAGCCTTTATATTTTGTCTCTGCTGCGCAAACAGACGGCGTTCCCAGGCTTTGCTTCCACACTCCAGCTTCCCAAAGCGTATTTTCCTCCTTTATTTCCATTAGGTGAAATTATTTTGGGGAATGAGCAGCTCTGAGAAGCTCCTGACACCACAACTGTCTATAAAAGGCTTTAAAACCAGCGCCCGTGGGTGCGGGATCCTCAAGCGATCGTTTTACATTTTGTGGTTTCTCACTTTGATGGTGGCTTAAGTTGCCCTGCCCGCTTTTAAAACCAGGCAATGAATCACGGCGTGGAATAAATCCAACAGAAAAGAAAAAAAAAAAAGAGATTCTTCAGCCAAATAAGCTCTCTCGCTGTGCGCCTGCGCTTGGAAAATCTGAGGAACAAGCTGCTGAGGCCCGGAGCCGCTGAAATTGATCCACACCGGAATCGTGGCGTAAGCCCTTCAGGTGCACTGGAAGTGGTACCTGGCAGGAATTCTTCATTAAAACATGGAAAATGTTGGTGCATGTCTCTTGGCACAGTTGGGAAGCGTTCTCAAAGCCTAACAGCTCCCAGAAACGACGTAAGGGCTTTTCTACCAAAACCAAATGCCTCCCCCGCCCTCCGCACCACCAGCGGCAGCCACTACAGCGTATTAGGAACCGACAGAAGTTCAGAAACAAAACATCAAAATGGAACACGCTGCCGTAAAATTCCGAGGCGAAGCAGTGGGATTTTTTTTTCGTCACAGACCGAATTCCGGGATGATATTGAGTTTTGTGGTTCCACTTGGTGAGGTCCAACAATAACTTCTTATAAAATGACATGATGAGATTACGTTGAGGTTTCTTCTTTCTTTCTTCCTCTAAATGAGCCTTCAAGCGTCTTTTTGAATTATTTACGCACGTTTTTCAACTCCCATTGGTGGTAACGAAGAACTTTAAATACGGGACCACATATTAAGGTCGGCGGAATTTCCATGCCACTGACACCCAGCTAAACTGAAGGCAAGATGCTGAAAGAGCTGAGAAATTTAAGTCACTTCAGGTACCTAAAAATCTCTTCATTCTTGCGAAGTGAACTTGGGGGAGCTTAAATTTATTATTAATATTGCGTAATATTCCAATGTGAAGAAAGGAAATAGCTCGCTTCGTTTCCCCAGGATACCCACATCACCTACCTGCCATTAATTTCTTACTTTGAGGCATTTCTCACCCAAAAATCAGGGAGCCGAACGTGAAATTTCATACTTCACGCTTACCGACTGTCAGGAAGGCTCTGGACACCGCGGAGCCGTGCCGGTTGGTGGCTTCGCACGTGTACTCGCCACCGCGCTCCGGAGTCACGTTCCTGATGTGCAGGGAGCTCCAGCCCGCTCGGGACACGGAGAAATAGGCGCTGGGCTCCACGACGGTGCTGCCCTGCGTTGTTGGAGGAGGTTTCTGCGGTTGCGAGCGAAGCAGCGGGGAAGGGCGGGTGGTTACAAGTCCTCTGCTGTCGTACCAACGGATGGCAGGAACGGGGAGGCCGGTGGCATTGCAGGACAGTGTCACGTCCCCTCCGTCCGTCACGGTGACGCTTGCCGGCGGAGAGATGATAACCGGCCTAGAGCCTTTGCCTAGGGGGGGAAATAAAACCCAAAGAATTAATTTGGAAAAAGAATAGGATGCTTAATGAGTCAATACAATTAAAAAAGTCCCAAAATATCTGCTCCAGCAGCCTCTGCGCAGCTCACATCAGTCTTAACAGGTACAGGGAAAGTCAAAAGCTGCAACTACACGTGACGGGGAGAGAACAGGAATGGCAACGGTCTTGCCAGCATCCTTTTATTGGCAGAAATCAAGTTTTCTAGGTACTAGAAAGGATCCTAGAGAGGCGATCAAAAAAAAAAATTGGTACCTGCTGATGGGAATACCAGTTCATCCAGCACAACAGAGCCTCACTCCATTTAAGAATAAACTGTATCAAATTCAACCATAAACTGATTTAATTGCAGCTGGTGATCTCAGTTTTAAGTACCCCAGAAATAGCAACAACTCTTAAAATTCAACTGAAAGCACCTTCTTTGCAAGATTTGCTACAAACAGTGATCAGAAACAACCCAATACACAATCTAGGGGAAAAAACCCACAAAAACCAGACTAAAGCTTGAAGTACAAAAGCTTAATTTCATTTTTTGAGGGCTGCAGGAGCTCCTACCCGGCTGGACACGAAGTCTCGCAGTGGATTGCACAAATCCGAGGCCGTTGCTTGCGACGCACTGGTACAAGCCCGAGTCCTCTTGGGTGATGCCGTGGATCCGCAGATGGTTTCCCATCGGGAGATGCCACGGAGAGCGACGGAGAGGAGCTGCGTTGTGGAGCCAGGTGAGGGAGGGAGCAGGGCTTCCGCGGACGTCGCACCAGAAATGCGCCGTCGCTCCGGCGGCCACGGTTTCGTCCTGCAGTCCCATGGAGATCGAGGCAGGTTCTGTAACAGGAAATAATTTTCTGTAAAACACTGAGTCATGGAGGGAAAAATCCTCCAACAAGAGGAAAATCTGCCGCAAAGGAAAGGAGAGATTAGGAAGGACTTGCAGCCAGGCTTTTGAGGCCACACATGTTTCTTTGGCTTTTGTTTTTGTCCTCATCCAAACATATCACCTCTCCTCATCAGCTTTTTGCTTATATACGACCTCAAAAGAGAAACATCTGATCCCTGGCATGCTATTGACACCGTGTCCTATGTACACTTGGCGCTCCGCAGAAAAATAAACAGATCAGTTCCTCCCCCGGACTGTGTTATCCTGCACTGTTTGACTATTTCAAACCGCGAAGGATTTCAAGAGGTTAATAGTTATGGATTTTAGCTGGGGAGAGATGAGGAGATATGGCCATCTTGATTTTTATTCTTTATTTTTACATAAGAAAGAACTTCAGGCTATTTATAACCAGATGCCAAAACCAGCAAGTACACAACCAAAACACTCATTGCCTGGATGTGACAACTGCTTTATAACTTACCAAGTACAGTAAGGGAATAGTTAACGAATTTCATGACTCCCAGCTCATTTCCCACCACGCAGGAGTAATTCCCAGAGTCCGACACCTCCAGCCTGTCCGTCACCAGATGTGAGTGCAGCAGTTTCCACCTCCCTTTCCTCAGCACGTCCCCACCATCCTTAACCCAGCGGATGGAGGCTGGAGGCAACCCGCTGACGACACATTCCAGTGTCACGGAGCTGTGCCGGGGTACCGCCAGGCTCTGGGGCACCAGGGGGTGAAGAATGTGGAAGCCACCTGAGGAAGAGCCTGGAGAAAAAGAGATGAGATTTATCACTAATCTTCTAAACCACACCTGGTTTGGTGACTAGAATATTGGCATTATCCCCTTTTCGAGGACTAAGTCCTCTTGGGATTTGAAAAACCAGATGTGCTGCTTCTCTACAGTAAGGTGGAATCAAAATTGAACATGCAAAGAACACAGGACAGATTTTATGTAACGTGGTACTTGTGAAAATCTTCGGGATGGTCTTTATTCAGTTTGAGATGTATTAATTCCGGAAAGCCGAAGTGAATACTCACGCGTGACTACGAGCTTACGTCCCGTGAGTTCTGTTCGGAGATCGTGAGTGACCGGGTTGTACGCAGCACATTTATAGGAGCCTTTGTCTTCTAAAGATACATTCAAAATCTGCAGGTTTCCAGATGGAAGAATTAGGTAGTTGTCTAAACACGTGGGGAGGGAAGAAAGATTATAATTAACTCAGTTTCAAAAAAAGTTTTCCTTTTTCCTTTTTTTTTTTTTTTTAATAACTTGTCAGATATACCCATCTATTCTAAACGTAGGATCACAAAGAAATCATGCTGTCGTGACAAAAACATTCATTTACAAAGGTCCATTTAGATCAAGCAATTTGCACGGGAAGTTCTGCAAGTTTCTAGACTTTTTTTTCCCCCTTTAAGTTCTAAGAAAAAAACCCAGGCAAGATTTCTATTGCTAACATCTCACCTGTTGATTGTTCCAGCCATTTTCCCCGCACTTGGAAGCGAACCTGTGCTTTAGGGTTACTTTCTGGCACCTCACACCCAATGAAAGCCGTCCCTCCTTCCTCCACTACAATGGCGGGTTTCACCGACGGATCAAAATCAGCCAGACCTGGAAGAGAATCGGTAGAAGGTCCAGAGCCTCCACTTGGGAAAGGGCAGTAAACTGAGTATTTGTGTTTAAAATAAAATAGAAAGGGCCAGCTTTTACATGGGAATAGTGAGGGGAAAAAAATAATTCCTACTTGCTTCTCCAGGAGAAGCAAACAGAGACAACACCGGAAAGAGAAGATGAAAATTTCCACTCACAGCAGGAAGGCTGTCCATAGGAAACATGAAATTGTCTTTCTGCGAAGATAATAAACACAACACCAAGTACAGCGGCACCTCCCGCCCGCTGCCACGAGCCATGAGGCAAGCAGAACGCCTCGACAGCTAACAGCACCTTCTAATTTGCTACAAAATGGTCAAAAAGAGGAGAAAAGCGCACAAGCTGCTCTCTTACTCCCTTCACCTTCAAAGCATCTTGTAGGTTGGGAAGTTTTTCTAGGTTAGCCACCCTTACCGCTCTCCTGAGAGGGTTTCGCTATGGGTCAGTACTTTACCAAAACACTTACTTCTCTCGCTTCTAAGAAATTTTCCTCCCAGGGGGGATTTTGGACATGCTCCATAGATGAGGCACCCTTCCAGAGAAATCACTCAAATCCTGCTCGACAAAGCCTTGATTCAGACAGCCCCGCGATCCCGAGCGGACAAATCACGCTCGCAGAGAAATATTATATCCTTTCCGTGCGGAAAACATTGCCCTTCCTCTTCTGAAGGCCCTTTAGATCAAACAATTTACAGATCCAGCACCAAGGCAAAGAGTGATGAGAAGAACCAGCGTGACAGAGAAGGGAAATCGTTCCTGAAATGACCGAAGACTGTCCTCACCTGACGATAGTTTTGACCAAATAAAATTCTACAAGTGAAAAGGGAGATTTTCAGCTCCCGCTTTTATCCCAGGCAACAATTCCCACTTGTTTCTCCTCAAGTCTCAAGCAGGTTTCTGCAACAGCTCAGCTGCTCTTTCAAGATCCTTTGAAGAGCAGCTTTTGGGAACTTTGTACTTCGGGGTCAAGACATTGAAATTAATGTTATCTCATTGAAAACACATTTAGAGATATTCTCAGCTCAAAATGGGGCTATCTAAATCGATCAGGTGCGGTTTTGTCTAGTAGTCTTTAAAAACCTCCAAGGATGGAGCTCCACAAGCTCCAGGGCTGCACCGCTCAACAGGTCTTGGATCAAATAGGAAAAAAAAAAAGAATTGGTGAAGAGTGTCTAACTGATCGTATCTACCAACTGCCATCATCTACCTGGACTTGTGCAAAGCTTGTGACACTGTCACACACGACATCCTTGTCTCTAAGCTGGAGGGACGTGGATTTGACAGAAGGACCACTCGCTGGATAGGGAACTGGCCAGACAGCTGCACTCAAAGAGTTGTGGTCAACGGCTCAATGTCCCCAAGCGGAGACCGGTGACAAGTGGTGTTCCGCAGGGGTCGGTACTGTGACCGGTGCTGTTTAACATCTTTGTCAGAAACATGGACAGTGGGATGGAGTGCACCCTCAGCAAGTTTGCCGGTGACACCAAGCTGTGTGGTGTGGTGACACACTGGAGGGAAGGGATGCCATCCAGAGGGACCTGGACAGGCTGGAGAGGTGGGACCCTGCCAACCTCATGGAATTTAACAAGGTCAAGTGCAAGGTCCTGCACGTGGGCCGGGGCAATCCCAAGCACAAACACAGGCTGGGCGGAGAATGGATAGAGAGCAGCCCTGAGGAGAAGGACTTGGGGTGTTGGTGGATGAGAAGCTCAACATGAGCCGGCAATGTGTGCTGGCAGCCCAGAAACCAACCGTGTCCTGGGCTGCATGAAAAGCATCATCACCAGCAGGTTGAGGGAGGTGATTCTCCCCCTCTGCTCTGCTCTCGTTAGACCCCACCTGGAGTACTGCGTCCAGCTCTGGAGTCCTCAGCACAGGAAGGACATGGACCTGTTGGAGAAACTCCAGAGGAGGGCCATGAAGATGGTCAGAGGGCTGGAGCACCTCTTGTATAAGGACAGGCTGAGAGAGTTGGGGTTGTTTAGCCTAGAGAAGGCTCTGGGGAGACCTTCTAGCAGCCTTCCAGTACTTCAAGGAGAGATGGGGAGTGTAGACACACAACGAGGGGTAATGGATTTAAGCTGAAAGAGAGTAGATTTAGATTAGATTTTAGGAGGAAACATTTCCCCACGAGGGTGGTCAGGCACTGGAACAGGGTGCCCAGGGAAGCTGTGGATGCCCCATCCCTGGAGGTGTTCAAGGCCAGGCTGGATGAGACTTTGTGCAACCTGGGCTAGTGGAGGGTGTCCCATGGTGGGGGATTGGAACTGGATAGGTTTTAAGGTCCCTTCTGACCCAAACCATTCTATGATTCTATGATATACTAAGTAAAAAACAAAAAAACCCAACCCACCTTGAAACTTGGTGTTTTCTAAAAGTCAAAGAAAACCAAAGCATGCAAATCCGTCAAGGAGTGAGGAATACAAAGAAATATAAAGGAAAATGGAACTTACTGCCCATCGATACCGTGGCAGGCCTGCTCACGACAGCGCCCACGCTGCTGTTAGCGACGCACTGATAGCGCCCGGACGTGGACAGGCTGAGGGAGACGATTGTCAAAGATCCCGAGTGGATTTCCACTTCTCCCGCCTTGCTGTCCAGAGGTTCCCCATTAAACAGCCAGGAAAGGCGAGCTGTGGAGGGCTCGGCAGAGCAGCGGAGTTGGACGGGTTCACCAGACTTCTGGACAGTGGATGAGGGCTCAGAAATAAAACGGGGAACTAAATCTAAAGGGGAAAAACAAAATTATATTCCATTAGTGAACAGCACTTTGCATCTTTACAGTAACGCTCTCTCCCAAGGCTCCTGCCACGGGTCAGACCTGGGAAACTTCTTTAATCAGAAGGTTAAATATTGCTAAAAGATTATTCAGATCAAACACAGAAGAACAAAAGGTCTCTGAGCTCCGAGTTGCTCGTGATACTCAAGCAGGTGTCATCTTTTTCCTCTGCAAGAAGAACTCATGACAGATTCCCACTCTTCAAGATTCCCAGCTTCAAGATTCAAACCCCATTAAGAGGATCGCGGCGATTAAACGGCAGCAGGTTCAGTGTACAGGAAGGGCGAGATACATCCCCAAACGGCCAAGGCATCATTCGTGAGGGCCTGCGGGATTTACGTGGAGTGAAGCAGCAGCGATCACCTGGAGAGACAGAGCACGGCAACACGCAGCTGGAGCTGATCTGTCCCATATGCAGCGAGCCCGGCCAGGACTTGTAAAATTTTTAGAAATGGTAGCAGCCTGCCAGGTATTTATATACAGAACTGTCCCCGAGTCTGCAGAATTAATTAAAAAAATAGCAGGATTAAAAAAAAAAAAAGCTGGATGAACAGCAAAGGCTGTCGTTAATTCCAAATCCATGGACTTCATCAGGAGGAGAATGATGGATTGGGCATCCATGATCTTTCCTGACGAAGAGAAACAGGAAAAGCTGCTAATAAAGAAAAGGTTTCAGTTCCATAAACTTGTTTATGAGAATCTATTTATTTGCCAGAAGAAAATTCTTGCTCGTTGGAGGAAATTTCTTCCTATCCTGGCCAACGAAACACTGGCAATGATTTCCATTTGTTTTCTGTGGAATTCTCCACTCAAGATTTTGGACGACGGGAGGGAGCAAAAGGTGATTACCAGCGATAACTTCTACTCGGTTAGAGATAGCGGGGAAAAACTTATTTAAAAATAGACACAGTGGCAGGGGAAAACGATTTCTAGTTTGTAAATAAGCTAAGGAATTGCAGACAGTGCGGGTCAGGACGATATGAAATGACATCCAAACACAAGATCGTTTTCTTGTAGGTGGGGCCCTCGGCTCATGCTTTTCCTCTCAAGTCAGTCCGTCCAAGCTCTTCTACAGATGAGTTTCAGATGAGAAATCGCACGTTTTTCACAGAAACCATAAACTATCTGCGTAAACAGAAAATCAAACTGGAAATCTGAAGTGTGGCTTCACTTAACAAAAAAGGATGAAATCCAGAAAAATGGTATCAAAGCATTTTCGCAGGACTCCAGATGTCCATTTTTTAGCTTTTTAATTTTAAAAAACTTTTTCCCATCAGTTCAGTTCCATTTTCCAGGGATAAGAGGAAAGCAACGACCTCTCTAGCTTGCTAGCCACCGACAGCTACAAAATTCCACTTTCATCTTCGTCCCTGCCCTTGCTTGTGACACCGACGCTTTGTGCTCAGTGGAAGAGTCCAAATTGGTAGCAGTGACCCTGCAGCTGGAATTTATCTCCTGTGGCAGCTTGAAAAATCAAATTTATCCCATTTGCTTCTAACGACTGGCTATGAAGTGCTAAAAGTAGTAAAAGCTTCTTTTTTGTGTGGTTACGTTAAGACAAGCTGACTACACAGAGCAGATGTGTCAATTAAAACCATCCCTCGTCTTTTTTTTTTTTTTTTCAAGGCAAGAGCTGCTCGGAGCGCAGCCTTCGCATTTCAAAGATCCGATTCCTCCTTTCCCCCTGCAAATTTCCAACCCCTCCCAAGCCCACGGGAAGGCAAAACGCACGGTACACAGCAAAATCAGCGTCCAGCGAAGTCCGCGGAGATCCCAAAGAACAAACGGACGGAACAGAGAGTTGTCCGCGTTCTCAGCGCTTGTTTTGAGCCAAATTTTCGAAAGTGAAGTCGTAAATTCAGCTTAAGACTGATTTTAAGTGCTCCATGCGTCCTTCAAAGCAGATGAGCAATAAACTGGCGAACTCAAAACAGAATCCAAATGGCCGCTTGTCTCAAAAGTAGGGGTTCAAACCTCCACCATCTCGGCTGGGGCGAGGAGGCCTTACCTGAACTCGTGGCAGCGAGGAGACCGGCGGCAGCGATGAAAAGCAGTGCTTGTAAGCGTCCGGGATCTGGATGCATAGCGCCAGATTCCACAAGTTGAAAGCGCGAAGTTCCAGACTAAGACGAGGCAGCGAAAGAGCTACAAAAAAACAAACAGATGTCTAGTGTAAGCTTCAGGAGTGAGTCTTTTAACTCTCTTACAACAAAGTGTTTGGGGCTTAAAAAAAAAAAAAAAGCCCAACCAGGAAACAGCCAATATTCCTCGCAATATAGAAACCATCTGTAAAAATGAGTTAGAAGTTGAACTTGACGATGTTTCCAAGTACTAGTCTGAAATAGAAGATACTTTCCCCAGCTGGGCATCCGCGCTGAACCATAGCGCCTTGATGAATTAGACTGCTTCCCACCCAGTCCAAAATAAACAAGTTATCTAGCCGAGATAACAGGGTTTGCAAACAATAATCGTTTGACCATCTATCACCAGGCTTAGACTTGCTTGTAAGTTTTTATGAATCGACACGATTACCGCGATAATCGCTCTAAACCTGCTCATGGCGACGTGTCATCTGCTTGCTCCTTCTCGTGGGCTTTGAGGTCAAACGGTGGCAAATGTCTACTGCGAAAAAATCGCCAAGATTCAGCTCGTTCTCATTTCTATCCCCCAAGCAACACTGCTTTTATCAGCTTCTACAAGAGGACAGCGTCACGCCTCAGCATTCTGCTATGGAACATCTCGCTTCCAGCCCCCCAAAAATACAAATTAAATCATGAAACCAACAAAATACAAACGAAATCATTCAACCAGCAAAACAGCTTGCACGAGGCGAGTCGCAGAAACACTGTTTCTGACACGGTCTCCACCAAACTCTCTTTTCCTCTCCAAGAAAATAATAAAGAAAAAAAAATCCGCAGCTGGCGTTCGGTTCTATTTTCTATCTGCTTTGCGTACGATGATGATGATGAATAAGACTGGAGTTCATTTAGCACAGTTACTTCATTTATCAGCCCGGCCGAACAATTTCGCGGCTGATAACACTCAGCTTCAGATTTTAAACATCTCATACATCAGGCGTGTATATAAACACGCATCTACCGCGCATCCAACAGCCGGGAGTTTAACTGGCAGCGCACAGAACAAGTGCACCGAGCAGAACTAAGTCCCAATTTCCTGAGCGCCAGCGGAGCAAGAGGCTGGATCCCAGATATCAACAGCAAAATGACTCCCAGGGTTTATTTAAAAAATAACAGTATTTTATCACCAGGACATCGCTGGGAGATATATCTGCACAATAAGCATCAGGAAGAGACTCCAAGAAGAAGAAATGAATCACTGGAGATTTTATAAAGCTCCTTGCTTACTGCTACTTCTCCTGAAAAAATTACACTCCCAGCTTACGATGACAGCTTGGAAAAAAAAAATTAAAAAGCTGCTGTCGGGTTCTGCTCCCATTTCTGGGCAGTTTTTACCCGATCTGGCAAATTCCTTTCAGCTGTTGGGCCGAGCGGTGAGTCCCGCGGAGCAGCGCTGTTTCGGTCAAATCCCAGATGGCAGAAGAGCCGGGGCTGCGCAGAAAGCCGTTGGGTTTATTTGCATTCTCGCTGGGTTCAAGGGCAGGAGGAGGACAAAGTAAACACCCCCGAGAACTTGTTAACATCAAACACTTCGCTCAAGAGGGGTGGGGGGCAATGTTGCGCCTTTTTTTTTTTTTTTTTGCCAAATCTTCCCTTCACTATTTATTTATGAAAAGCAATGAAACGTATATTCTGGGTCAACTTTAACCCCGGCACATGGAGCTACCGGGTTATTTTGCAGCTGTCTTTTTCACCAAGGCCAGCTCATTATCTTTAACTAAACTTTATCTTTCGAGATCTACTTTAGCCAGGCTCTGATTTCCCTCTGTTTATCTTTCCCTTTACATGTTCCTAGCCGCCAGTGTCAACAGCTACTCCTCTTTTGACCTACCAGTTTGGCTTTCGCAGGCTTCGCAGAGTGGTAAGATCAACTGGAAAGCAAGCGAGTACACAGAGCAAGCCACAAATACCAAAGTTCTTTTGACTGGAGGGAAAAGAAAAAAGAAAAATATTTACTTTAATTGGAGGAGCAACAATACTTGGGCATCCAAGTTTCTCTAACGTGCGCTTTTGGGATACAGGAAGGCAGAGGGAAGAGGAGATCCAACACACAACCCCAAAAAGATTTCCTGCTTTCTGCGTTTTCTGCAGATGGTGTCGCCACAGAAGCTGCTTGCTGGGTGTAGAGACGAGGGCAAGACCACACCATGGAGCTTTGGGGTCTTCAGAAACTCAGTGGAGAAACCTGGCCTCAAAAATATTCTATTAATACGTATCTGAGCGTTACAAGAATGGAAAAATACGACTCTTCCCCTTTGCCGTCATTTCAATAACCCTAAACTCCCATTCTGGGAGCAAGTACCAGGCGCTGGGGAGCTACTGGGACCAGAAGAGGATCCCTTTGGGCAGACGTGGCTCACTTTTGGGAGATGTGGCTCCATTCCAGTGTCTCAGACGCCAAGATGAGCTCGCTCAGGATCAGCTCTGCCCAGTGTTCACCATTCTCGCTTGAGAGGATGAATCTCCAGCGCTGGTGGATCAAACAGTCAGAGTTATTCTGGTGTCAGTGAGAAAAGGGGCTATTTCCCAGCCATGCAATGGGAATTATTCATCTAAATAAGAATAGTCAAGGTTGACTAGAGATGGACATGGTTTCCACGGATCAAGTCCTTTCCAGTTTCACCGGTGGTTTCTCCAGACCGTCAGTGACGCACACGCGTATTTTTTTGAATTTTTCCTACTTCCAGCCAGACACCTTCATCCAAAGCTATCTTCCAATTAATTTCACCCAGCACTTGACCTCCTCGTCAGCTCTAAACTAACTTCCTGCTCACAGACCAAGGGAAACGAGGACAACACTGGACTTGTGTCACGACGAGCCACCATCCCAACAGACATCCACCTCTCGGAAGCAGGCTGCACGCGCGGGGTGTCCAGAAACCTGGTACTTTTGGAGATAACCAGCAAGACGGAGTACTTCTGGAGATGCCATCACTCCGGCTGTGCGCCTCATTTGTCACAGACGCTTTTTAAAAGGAACCTCTCGCCAGACAGCTCACAATTTTGGACTTACCGAAACTTCCCACTGGGCTGAGATGGGAAGACACAGGCACCAGAGCGGCCAGGCAGGCTTCTCACCTCCGATCTGGAGAGATGCGGCGCAGGGAGACAGCACAGCCCCGGCAGCGACCTTCTCCTCCTTCCCAAAGCTTCACGCTTGGCGCTGTTTCTCCGGAAACCATCGGTCTTCAACGTAAGGTTCCACGTCTGGTCTGTTTGGTGTAACTAACTTGTCACCTCCGAAGTAACTCGCTCCTAGCCCTTCTTATCCCCCCAAAAAAGGGTTTTACACTCTGAAAAGATGACAACGCGCTGTTTGCCACACATTCACATGGTTCACAGGATCCCGTGTCCTTCAAAACACAGCTGAGAACCTGCCCTGCTTATTTACCGGACCACAAACGTCTCATCTCCACCCTCGCAGCCGAGGGCAGAGTCACGCTAAAAAGAACATTATCTCATACCCGTTTTTTTCCTGCTTTTTTTTTTTTCTCTCCTTTTTTTTTCCCGTCCCTGAATCATCTTCCTGCCATCTCAGACCAGGGCACCCCCAGGACCTCCCTTCCCCATATTTAGCCACCGCCCCACCTCAATCTAACCATCGCTCCCCTCCAAAACTCCTCTGATGATTCACGACGCCGAAGCTAGAGGAGGAAAGGGTTTCTTCGCACCAGCTCCTACAAACGCCAGAGCAAAGCAGGGAAGGAGGAGAAGGAAGGAAACGGCAGGCTCGGGAACAGAGGGAGTCATTCAGGTTGCCCACTCCACCTCCAGGAGCTGCCAGCCTTCTCGAAGAAGTCCGAGGAAAAAGTGACAGAGAGCTGCTGCAGACATGACAACATCTTTCCTGGGAGTAAAACAGCATTAGATACTAAAGACTTCATATTTTTTCCTAAACACCAACTCAAAATCAATTAATCCACCCTCACTTTATGATACTATATGTGATTTAACACCTAAAGCACAGCAAGGTTTAGTTTTTTTTCTCCCCCTAGGTCATTTACTACAGAACCACCAAGAAAAAATGTCATTTTAACTCGCTCCCCAAAATTGTTTCCGTGAATACAACAACAAAAAAAAAATCCCAGATTTTCAAAGCACCTAAATTTAGAACAAACGAACCCTCCAGAATTAACTAAAACACTGTGGCTTGCTCCCAACTAAAGGCAAGTCAGATCATTAAATCTCACACCAAGACACCTTAAAAAAAAAAAAAAAAAAGAGGTATTGAAGCCTGTGGCATTCCAAGAGAAAGCAATCAGACATTCCTGCAGCTCGGCTCCTCAGTGATCTCCGAAGCCTTTGATCACGGACTGTCTTCATGCTGTCCTCCTGGGGTCTGGCAAAATGAGCGGAACAGCTGGCAGATAGACTCCAGGAGCTTTTTGTGCTGGGAAGGAGCGGCTCAGCAGCCGGCAGCGACTGCCAGTCTGCCCGCCGGCTTTACGGACTAACCTCTGAGGTTTATTCCCGGGTTTTTGGGGCGCTGGAAAAGCCTTGAAGCAATCCCGAGGAATCGCCACCGGTGCGCTCGCCCACACGCCGCACACCTCTCATGTTCCTGGAGTACCTCTTCCTAAAAAACCACGGCTGCCGGACGCGAAGGGGGAGGATTTCCAACGCTGCCACGCGGGTTTGGGGTCGCTAAAAGGCAACCCGAGCCTGCCGAAGCCTCATTTTTAAAGGAAGCCTGATTTTTTATGAATGCTTAATGACCACTCAATCACGAACATCAAGCCTTTAAAAAGCAAATGCAGCACCTACAGTGTTCATTACCCTCCCCCTCCCCCCTTTTCAGGGTCTCAATCGAGGCAGCGGAGCGTGCAAACCGATCCTGTCGCCAGCAAAAGCATTTCCTTTCACTGTGGTCAGCCAAAAAAGCAAAGGGAAGAAAATGGAAGTGACTTGAAGTTATGGCACCAAAAAGGCCAGACAAGCAAGGAAAT